CCAAAGCTTTTCAACTGCAATAACTTAATTAGAAAGTTAATACTAATCATATTCCATCATCAACCAAACACATAATACTTTTCTCTTTGTTTAAGTCCTGAGGCTAACTTTTGCCTAAATACTCTAGCAAGAATGATACAATCATTCAACCTCTTTGAGGTTGTTTTTTTTTTTTTTTTTTTTTATTATGTTATTCACCTCCTCAAGGCCAAGAAGGCCACTACAGACAAAGAGGCTACTTAATAGTGGTTATAAACCTCTCTCAACTCTATAACTCCAAAACACGAACGTTGACGAACAAGGCCGCTGCGCGGAGAAACAAGTTAAGCGCGGTACTACCAGGGACGTGGTGGGGATCAAACTCGGAACCTCTCGCTTATAAAGCAAGTGTTTTACCACTACACCACTACCGCATATATACTTATATATACTTAGGTATACTTATTAACTGCTTCTAGAATTTTTTTAACTAGCTATTCACTGCGTTTTAGAGTAAAGCAGAAAATTTCAAAATTTGATCACCCAGTTTGTTTTTTATAAAGCCTTTTAGATAGCGGTGTTCCTTTAGCCTGTTTATCTTTAGAATTGTTAAAACTTTAGAATTTAACTGAACTTCTACTGACTGGCACTTTAAAAGAAGATTTATTCTTGACTTCATTAAAGAAATGTGAAATAAAAAATGAAATCTTAAATAGCCTTCTTGATAGCTAGAATAAAGATTAAAAATAAATAAGAAAAAGGAAATTAAGATATTTTAAAGCAATCTGTCTTTTTGATTACTTAAAACGTTTTGTTTAGAAAGTTTACCAATTTTATTGCTGCTGTAAATTGATAAAAATTTAATTAGTTTTTTAAAATTATTGATAGATAATTGATTTTGTTGTTGGTGTGTAACTTTCAATGTTAACTTTATATGAGGGTAACATTGACATAAGTATGTTTTGTGCTATAATTGTATGAAAAGTGAAAATACCATTGTAGTTTTGATAAACAAAAGAGAGATAACCTTTTAAATATATACTAGCACCATCCTATATTTTTGTTTTTAAAATTAGCAGCATTAAAAAGTTGTAAAATTGCCATGAAAATGTAATGAAATATTATTATTTGAAAACAGTGATGATTAAGTTCGAAATATAATTTCTATTTCAGTTTCTATTCAGTTCTTGTGGCGTTGATTTAATTTCTAATTCTAGTTTTACCTATGAAATAATTCCTATTTCAGTTTCTATTCAGTTCTTGTGGCGTTAATTTAATTTCTAATTCTAGTTTTACCTATGAAATAATTCCATTTTCAGTTTTAAATTAGTTCTTTTAGAATTAATTTCAGTTGAGTTTTTATGATTTCAGTAATTTCTTATTTCAGTTCATAATTTAGTGAATATTTCACTTTTATCAAGTTTTTTTGGAAATTTTTAACAGGATATTAACTTATTAAGTATCACCAAAGATTCAAGACAACTATTAAAGCAATTTTTTAATATAATATAAAACAATATAAATACACAGGTCAACATTATAAAATTTCTTTTCTGGTGCTGAGCAAACAATTTGTTTTTTTGTATAGCACTTCTTGTTTTAATTTCAAATATGCAACTCACCTTTCACCATTTGGGTTCAAATCTTTAGTATTAGGGGTGAAATCCCTAATATTATCTCACAAAACAAATTATTCAAAAGTAAGTCAGCCTGGTTCTCAAAAGAAGCGTATTTTCATAGAGATTTTAGAAAACATAAATATTTTTTCTTAAAATTTATCGACAAAAAAATTAAGTGAAAAAATGCTAAAAACACTTAAAAAAATTTGAACCTAATATTTCTCAGCAATAATACAAAAAGTACTTGTTTTTATTAAAAGCAAATATTATTTTTAAATTATCTATGAAAATACACTTCTTTTGAAACCCAGGTTGGCACACTTTTGAATAATTTTTTTTTTCGACAATATTCTGGATTTTACCCCAAATATTAAAGATTTAGACAGTAATTTTTTTGTTGTTGTTGACTTGTTGAAATAAGATTTTTTTTGAAAATGTAAGAAAATATAAGCTTGCATTTCAATCAATTATTCTTGTTTAGTTTCATAAAAACTCTTATCTCTAAACAGGGGGTGTTAGGGATTAACCACCTAAGGCTAATTGCCATATAGAGGCCACATACCCGGGCTAGAGAAGACAAGTTCAGCTCACTAAAGAGCATCATCACCGGCTTCGCTTATCAAGAGTAACTGAGATTAGGAAGGACAAAGAAAGTTAGAGTGAAAGTTAGAATTCAATTTAAAAAAATACCATATTGAAAGCGGACAGATAATTGCACTAGATCTTAAAATGTATAACTTACAGGTGTATTAACACCATGCTTGAGGTTATGTCAACGTATCTTACGTCAACGATACATTTAATTTAAATACATTTGCTATGAAAGCATGGTAAACAAGCCGCAGAGTGCGTTATTTGTTTTGTTATTTACACTTGCTATTATTCTTTAAAAATAGTTATATTTGTTCATTTAACATCCTACTACAGCATCTGTTAAAGTTATTTAAATAATAGTTTACTGGTAGCAGTTAAAACCATTTTATCTAACACATTTTAATGTTGCCCACATGTCAAAGTTTCCCCATGTTATCTTATAAAGACTTCTAATTATATATATATACATATATATATATATATATATATATATATATATATATATATATATATATATATATATATATATATATATATATATATATATGTATGTATAAATTATTGAAGAAAAAACAACTTTAAGTTTTATGCCAATACTGCAATCATCAGCCATTAAATGAAAAATAAAAGTAACCCCACTAAATTGCACTATAATGTGTATTCAGTTCTTTATGTCACTAAATGCTAACTTGATAGCAACCAAAAATAAAGCAGAAGATTAGCTAATCACCAATGTCAAAAAAAAAAAAAAAGAATTTATTCATTTGTCTGCATTTTAAAATCAATTTGTTTTAAAATCAAATTGTTAACATGTTTTCACCTTTTTAAAATGAAATGAAATTTTTTTTCATATAATCAAATATTGCAGATTTTTGATGAAGAGTTGTATCGATGGCCACGTTTCAGAATTTTCCACTAAATTGAGAGTGTAAGTATATTTATTTTTTTTATATCCCAGATTTTTTTAGACAACTTTAGGCAAGTATCATTTTTATATTTATTAATGCTAAATGATTTTAGGTGATTAGCATAGATTTAAATGTAGTTTCACATTAGCCAAAATATACTATTTTCTCTATAGTCTGGTTTATTTGACGACAAGGTGACTTAAATGATGTCTTTTTTAAACACTGATTGTTCATGGGATAGATAGATTAATTGACACAGTTGTTTGTTTTTGTTGCATCATTAACATTGAAAGGTGGGTTGTACCAGATGTTTTGTTTGTAATTTTTGAATGAGTACGGCTTTTTATTGGATTGATAAGTGAATTTGTTTGAAAAACCTGATTTATTTAATAAATCTTGATAAGGAGGAATGGATTGTTTAAAGATGTTTTCATTTGAAGAATTAGTTGACAATATTAGTTTGTTTGTTTAAGACTTTTTAGTATGCAAGATTGTTAACACTTCTCAGTATGCATTGAGAGTGGTTAGAGTCAGCATGTGCATAACTGATTGAATTATCAAACTTTCAGTTGGGAAAAACTGTCATTAAGATTTAACCATAATTAACAGTTTTGAAATTACAACTGATGAATATAAGGAGATCATTAATTTTGAAAAATTTAAAAATTGCTTTTAAATTTTTTCCATTTGTTGGCCATTTCAGATTGTTTTCATTTCATTTCAGAATCGGCAATTTAGTAATCAGAATATTAAACCAAATATATATTGTTTTATTGTTATAATATAGAGCACTTATATATCTGCAAAAGTTTTGTAAAGTAATGCAGGGTTACTTTAATATGTGGGTAACATTGATATGTATTTGATTAAATGTTTTTATCTGTCACCCTTTAACTATTGTTTAAATTTTTTTACCAGATGCTAAAGACAGATGAACAAATATAAATATTTTAATCCGCATAATAATAAGTATAAATAACAACATATATAACAATAAATGTGACATAAATTAAACTAATTTTTAGTTTTTTTTGTTGCAAAAAAATTTTTGTTAAAAGATATATTAAAACATACTATAATATAATTTTACATGTTTACATTTTATGATGTTATTATTAAATATTAAGCATATAAGATTTTTTTGTAGGATTTTTTTTTTTTTTTAATGCATATTTAATAATAACATCTTGGATCGAGAACATATATAAGACCATATTGTGTAATATGTGAATGTAAGCATTTCATTTTAAAGTTTTTGTTAAAAGAAATATAATTTACAATAAACAGTTTTACATCATAGGAGTTCCATATTTTACAGCTATAGACCTGTATTTTACATTTTGCTGACTGAAAAACTAATATTCTATACAACTGTATTCTATACAACTTATATTTTATTGAATGAAAAACTGAAAGACTTGAGTTGGGTGTTTTCAAGTAGAATATAGTTCAAAATTTATTTTCATTATGTAGTGATTTATTAAATTTTAACAAAGGGGATGGTATTTTTTTTTTGTTTTTGTTTTTTTTGTTTTACATGTCTTACCATCTGAAAAGTTATTTTAGGGTTAAGATTTTAATGCTATTTTAAACAACAATTTTTTTGTGTAATTATCAAATTTAAATATTGTTCCACAAATTTCTTAATTAAACAAAACTCAAAAGTTTTTATTAAAACTTTTGAAGTGGCAGTGGGGTTGTGGTAGGGGTAGTTAAGGTGGTAAATATTTGTTAATTTCTTAAAGAAAATCTTTGACAAACTTCAAATACAGATTGTAAAATTAGTGTAATTAAGAAATATTTTTTTCAAAACATGCAATGTTTAAACTTCTATGTATTAGAGAATTAGAAATATTTTTTTATTGACATTTTTTATATTACTGAACCATTTTATGTTTAGTATTTGGTCATACTGAAGAAAACTGTGATGACGAGCAGGTAATTGCAAAAATATGAAGTTAAATTATTAAATGCATATACATATTTAGTTAAAATGACGCATATATAATATATTGATAATATTTATGAACTATTATTAATGTTATAAAGTAATAATAATACTACAAATATATTAATACAAAATAAAATATATAAAGTATAAAAAAATTGCAATCTAAGTTTAATTTAAACTTAAAATTTTATTGTAACAAAATTTTTTTTAGCTCATTATTTATATCTTTTTTTTTATATTATTTTTTGTATCTTTTATTTTAAGAGGTGTTTTGAATTCAGTTTTACTGAGTTTCTCAATTTTTTGAAATTGAGAAAATATACCTAGAGATTTTAAAATACTTTGCATTTGTATAGAAAATGTAATTTTTGCGATAGATTACATGTGTAGGTTACACAGGTTATAGTTAATAAAAATAGACAAACAATAAATTAGTGTGCTTTAAAGGATCACTCCGAAAAGTTGGAAAATCAGATTTTAAACTTTTGACTCCAATCTCTGTTTCTATGATTTTTTAATAGAGGTTGAAACCAATCTACCATTAGAATTAAAATAGATACTAATGTTAGTAATTTCGAGAGTTTATAAAGGATGGCCTCTTCAGTATGTAGAACTTAATGTAGATCCTGTTGTGAGCTCTTAACTCACAACAAGAACTCAAATTTCACTTTGCTCCAGCCAAGAATTGAATCTGAGTTGCTGGCTCTGAAGAACTAGACTTACGGTTAGGCTGACCTTTAACCCTGTAGAACCCATAATATAGCTCAATTCTTTTGTATAAAAAATAAACCGATTGCGCGAGTTATTATTGCAACTTTGTTCTTTGTTATTAGTACAACGTTCTTATAGTGTTAAAGCTTAAGCTTGTTAAAAGTTTTAAATTTTTTTCAGCTATTTTTTAATTTTGCTTGGCTTTTTAGTTTAGCTGGCTTGCAGCTATCTTTTGCTAATAAAAAAAATAATTTTAAAGTGCTTATATATATTAATAGAACTTTTAAAAAATTGCATTTAAAGTATTATATTCAGTCATCTCCGTTTGAAATGTAATGCCAGCGCACAAAAAATGCTGGCGGGATGGTCATTTTTAAGTTATGCCGGTGCGATTTAAAAAAATCCATTTTTTTCTGCTATTTCAATTAAAATTAAAATAGCGTAAAGAATGCTTTGAATAAATACTGGATAAAATAATTTAAAAAAGTTGATAAACAAAATCACATTTTATAAGAAATGAACAAATAAACAAAAAAAATGTTGTTGCAATTTAAAACAACGCTTTTATTTTTTTGGCAAACGCTTTTTTATGCTTAGTTTTTTATGTTAGTTCCGAAAATGATTTAACAGAAAATATAGATGTCGCCTTTTCTATTAATAATTTAGTAACTAATGATAATAAAGGACTCTTTACAATAGCATTTGATGATAGCAATGATACTGTAAATAATAAAAGCAAAATCTGTAAACAACCAACTAGTAAACGACTTCATACCATTAAGACCAAGAAGCCTACTATTAGTAAAGATAATAGAGAATAGAAAAAAAAAATTATTAGAACTATTACTCCATTTATGGCAACACCAGGACCAACATTTAGAAGATCTGCAATACCTAATTGCGATGGAAATATCAAACCAATCTATCTCTTTGAATTGTTCTTTGATAATGCTTTAATACAAAAACTTGTCACTGGAACAAATAACTACCATTCAAGAAGGTTACAATCTTCTCCTATAAAGCATAGAATGGTATGGGTTGATGTTACGTCAAATGATATCAAATATTTATAGCAATTTGTTTAGCCATGGGAATAATGAAAACTTTCATGCATCCATAATTACTGGAGACAAAAACTTTGGTTTTTTGCTATTCCATCTTTTAGTAAATTAATGTTTCGTGATCGATTTAGACAAATTCACCGTTATCTTCATTTTTGCAATGAGACAGCAGCAATACGAAGGGGTAATGAAGGATACGACAAACTCTTCAAGGTACGTATGTTGCTAGATGACCATTGTCCTAAGTTAAGAAATCTTTATAAACCAAAAAGGGACATTTGCATTGATGAGAGTATGATACCTTTTAAAGAAAGAATCTCTTTCCGACAATTTATTCCAAGCAAACGTACAAGATTTGGAATAAAAGCTTGGGTAATGGCAGAGCCATCTACTGGGTACATATCAGATATCTTGATTTACACTGGAAAAGATATTGATGGACTAAAGCACCATGATCTTGCAAAAACTGTTGTCTGTCAACTAACCCAACATATTTTAAAATAAGGATACCATCTGTGTTTTTTGTTCATGTTGCAATGTCCATTTATGCCTTGATTCAGTCTCTAATTGTTGGAATATGTGGCATTCATAGTTTTATTCTTAAAATTATGTATCTATACATTCACTTTTGTTGACAAAATATAATAAATAAAATACCTGAAAAAACTTGTATTTGCTTTACACAAAGGGTGGGTTTATTATATTTTACTTATCTAAATAAGGAAAGTATCCCATCAAATTAGTTACTTTTCCTTATAGGTATTTTTTATATTTTTATTGAATAATAAAATTAGGCAAAAAAAAAAAAAAAAAATTGACGTCACCAGAGAAAAATAATTATTTAATTTCTAATAATCTAAATTAGAAAAGTGACCCATCAAATAAAAGCTGAATAAATTTTGCACCGTTTTACAAGCCTTTATTTACTTTTTAAACAGTATAGCTAGCTATTTGAAAGGCTTAATTTGCAACAATTTAAAATTCGCAAAGCTTCTTTATCAATATGAAATAATGTAGACGTCATATATTTATACTTTTTACTTTCTTATTTTTATTTTTATATTTTAAATTTTGCCTGCTTTCCAAGGATATATACTTTGTTTCACTTATTTTGTAAGGAAACCCATGTATTTAAGTGTTTTCGTGACATAGTATTGCGTTTTTTAAATCGCCTAAATAAATCCCGGCACGAAAGGGTTAAAAACGTCTGACAATTGTAAAAAAATGTTTAACAAGCTATGGAGTAACTTTTCCTAAATCTAACAAATGCCTTTAAAATAATTTATTTAAATAATTTAAAAATCCAAAAAAAATAAATTATAATATTGTCCAATTTTAAAGTTATTCTGGCCCACTGAGCAACGTTTAACATTGAGTCTAGCAATTACATTAAGATTATATTGTTTCAATAAAGATGTTGACAAGTTTCTTGTATGATAGTTGATGTTTGTAAATCATGAATTCATTGTTATATTTATTTTAATTATTATCTTAAATTAAGACCAGCGAACAGTGGTTGAATAAATTAATTAGACAACAGTGCTTAAAATCTAGATTTTATGTAATCAAGATTTCTTATAACTTATTTTTAATTTTAAAACAAAAAATACTATTTATATCATAGATAGCTTTAAAAAAATTTTATTGAGAGTTAAACCTAGGTGCTGTAACGTTATGTTAATGTAAAACTTTTTAAATTTATCAAATCTTAATTAAATACTTTAAAATATACAGTATTGGACAAAACATTTGCAACCAACATCGAACAATCCTAAAAAGTGTTCCTAATTTTATATGTTTTAAAAACGAAACGAATTATACTACCACAGCAAACAGTTCATGAGTCTGGAGTCATAGCATGCCATGACATGAGCAATCAGCTGACAGGTGACAGCACACAGGCAGAATTTCGTTGACAAGAGCCATTTTGCAGCGGACAAAACAAGTGCAACTTTTTTGGTTTGTTTCATTTTTTAAGTCTAGTCCGTGTCAACGTCACGGAAGTTTTTTAATAATTAAAGGAAGTATCCAGAAGTTTCTAGAAGCATGCAGAAGTTTCCAGAAGATGCATCTGGAAGCATCCAGAAGTATCCAGAAAAATTTAGAAGCATCCAGACGCATCCAGAAGCATCGAAAAGAAGCATCTAGAATATTCCAGAACAGGTTAACACAGGTTCATTTTACTATATAAGAGACATGTACACCGACATGTAATTCAGTCAGTTTATGGAAGTCAGTCAGTATTATCAAGACAGTTTATCGAAGCGAGTTTTATCAAAGTGTTTTATCGAAGAACATCAATGCAAGAAGTGAAATACAACAACCGTTTCATTACATCAATACTTTCCACATCCAACCAAGACGTTGTGTTCCACAGAGCATTATTGTATCATCACAAGGTAAATGTAACACGGTAAGCCTTGTGAAGCGTGATTATTTATTTTTATTATTTTTATAACTTTAAGTGCAAAAATGGCTCCAGACAGTTTTGGATTGGAACTAAGAAAGAAAGTTGTTGGCGATTACGTAAGTAGAATGTCACAAAAAAGTATTTGTGATAAATATCGCGTGAAAAAATGGACCGTATCAAGACTATGTTCCAAATATCGTTCTACGGGAAAGTTGGCAGCAGATAGCAAAGGTGGAAGACCGCGCTCCACCACTTCTAGAGATGATTCTTTGATTGTCAGATCCGTCAAGAAAGATCCCTGGATATCATCAGTCGAGATACAAAAGCAATTAGAGCTGCCTGTATTGGACCGAACAATCAGACGACGTGCTGTTGAAGCCAGATTGTTTTTTCGACGCCCTGCAAAAAAACCTCTGATTTCACTAAAGAACCAGAAGAAAAGACTCATATTGCTACGTCTCATATTGACTGGAATATGCAGAAATGGCGAACTGTCTTGTTCAGTGATGAATCGAAGTTCAACATCATTGGGAGCGATGGCATTTGCTGTGTGCGTTGACCGGCTGGAAAATGCCTCGATTTACGTTACTCCCATAAAACCGTGAAGCATGGTGGAGGCAATGTAATAGTCTGGGGGTGTTTTTCTGCTAACGGTCTAGATCCAATACATCGAATCGATGGAATAATGGACCGTTTCATGTATAAAAATATCGTGATCAATGAAACTTTGTGGATCGTTCCACAAAGTTTCATTGATCACCTGATCGAATCTATGCTTCGAAGATGCAAGGCTGTGATCGACAACCAAGGATTTGCCACGAAATATTGATAGCGAAATACAGCTTGGTCAACATTTTGTGGAGTTGCACTTGTTTTGTGCAGAAGGAAATAAACTTTTTTTAATACTTTTGATTAATTTAATAATTTTCGTGAACAAATAACGAACTTTGTGATGAATAAAACTTGAAGAACATTGTCTATAAACAGTTACATATTTATTTCTCTAAATTAAAAAAAAATGCAGCACTATATAAAGAAACTAAATTACCATTATTTGGTTGCACTTGTTTTGTCCGATACATTATGTTATAAAGATTATCTAATAATAGAGAATATTGTTTCTTTTTTGAATAAATTTAACGTTATTTATTATTTTATTTTACATATTTATTTTTTTTCAGACGTTTTAGTGAGTTCAATGATGGCCTTAGTGTTAATTTCAGTGTTTTCTCGTTTCGTCTTATTCACTGACAAACGCATTTATTTTTAAAATGCTAATAAACTCTCGAAAAAAAATGATTGGCCATTTACCGTTTCATCATCAAAAGAAATGAATTTGTAAAAATGTGAATGGTTACTAAAGAAAATTTTTATATATATATATACGTTTTTGTATTATTTTATACATTACATTCATTTCACGTGTTTCAGTTTTTTAACGGTTTTATTATAAATAAATAAAATAATTTATTGTATTATAATAATTTATTGTATTTGCGCCACCTAGCATGCGGCCGTGGCGCAAAGGGTAGAGCGATTGCTTTATAAGCAGGAGATCCAGGTTCGAAACGAGCTTTGGACATATTTTCGCGTCACGGTAAGGAAGGAGGCGTGAACTTCCTGGTTAAATGCACTTCCGCGGTGCTCTGTGATAAGACCGTCTTCTTGGGGCACCTAAAAATAAAAAAGATCTATTTAAATTTTTACTTTTATTTCACTTTTGTACTTTTACTTTTTTTTTTTTTTTTTTGGAATTTTAACATCTTTAAGTTGCAATTGAAAATTTTTAATTTTGTAGTTATGGGTTACCAGGAAATTTAAACTTAAAGTAAAAAAAAACGGTAAGCAGAATTTGCTTAAAATGTTTTAAATGCTAAATGACACAATTATTTGTTGTTGAATGCAATGACTCAAATTTTTGTTGTTGAATGTAATGCATTATAGTATAGGTGCACTGAACAGTCGATGTCTTTAAGAAGCCTAATAAAGTATAAAGAAGAAAGCAGAGTGAGATTAAAATACAATAGAAAAGATGTCTAGTAAATCAAGAGTAGCTAATGAGTGAAAGAAAATCATAAGAAAATACTAGGTTGGTTGAAAAGTTCGCGGAGCGGCACCTATGTTGCAGTAGTAGAAACAAATTTATAACTGTATTAAACGTATTCATTCTTCGTATGAACGCATAAAAAATTTCAAGTCGATATGTCATTTCAGTCTTTGTTTACAAGCTATTGAAATTAGACGTGTCATAGTATTTTTTAAAATGAAAAATATTGAACATCGTGCTGTAATAAAATTCTTTGTGAAAAAAGGTTTAAAGCCCATAGAAATTCATAATGAAATGGTAAATGTGTTGGGTGATGATGCTCCTTCAAAAACAACAGTATGCAAATGGGCTGCGGAGTTTCAACGTGGGCGTTCAAGCCTTGAAGATGACCCTCGCTCTGGACGTCCAAAAAGTGCTACTACTGAAGAAACGATTAATGCTGTGCATGACATGGTTATGGATGATAGACGATTGACCATACGTGAAATTGCTGAGGCTGTGGGCATCTCAGATGAACGGGTATTACACATCTTGCACGATGAATTACGTCTGAGAAAGCTGTTGGCAAGATGGGTGCCGCATTCGCTAACTCTGGATCAGAAACGCACTCGAGTAAAACTTTCTCAAGAACATTTGGCCCGTTTTCAAAAGAATAAAACAGATTTTGGTAACCATGGATGAGACTTGGGTTTACCACTATGATCCGAAGCTGCGACAACAAACTGCAGAGTGGACAGAACCCGGTTGTTCAGCTCCGAAGCAAGTGAAGGTGTCAAAATCGTCAAAAAAGGTTATGGCATCAGTTTTTTGGGATGCGAAAAGAATTTTATTAATAGATTACCTTCAAACCGGTAAAACGATAACAGGTGAATATTATAAAAATCTTTTGGACCAGTTGGATAAAAAAATTCGTGAGAAAAGACCTGGTTTGCTGCATAAAAAAATCATTTATCACCAGGACAACGCACCTGCTCATATCAGCGATGTTGCAAAGGCGAAATTGGTCGAATTAAAGTACGAACGCTCGGAACATCCACCCTATTCACCAGATCTGGCTCCGTCCGACTTCCACCTCTTTCCACATCTCAAAAAATTTCTACGTGGAAAGCGTTTCTCATCACATGAAGAAGTCATTGCAGCCGTAAATGGGTATTTTGAAGGCCTTCCGGAATCGCACTTCAGAGATGGGATACATGAATTGGAGAATCGTTGGAAAAAGTGTATTGCTCTTAAGGGAGAATATACTGAAGAATAAAGTCATTTTTTGAATCATAAAAATGTTTTTTCATTTCCGCTCCGCGAACTTTTCAACCAACCTAGTATAGTAAATGTTAAACTCAAAATAAAAAATATATCAGAACAATAAAAGTCAAAATAAAATAAAGTGGTGTGTCAAAAGATTTACTTGCCTTTCTATTGAAATCAAACAAAAACATCTTCATAAAATTTCTAAAATAGTTATTTAAGATCCTTGTTGTTTATTGAAATGTGACTCGGTTTTTTCAGTAAATTTTTATCCAATAAACACGTTATCCCGATATTGTAAACTATATAATGTTTGCTTTATCTCCTATATCCGCTGAAGTACTTAGGAGTAATTGACTGATTAAGAGCAATTGGCTGAGAAATAGAGGCAAAATAAGCAAATTCTGGAAGTGATGTCTTTAAAATGTCTTTATTTTCAGATATTTTGTGAAAAAAAAGTAGACCACTGGTAAATTTTTTTTGAAAAAATCTTATTTATTTAAAAGGTATTGGGTCTCAAAATTTGGCTCACTGTGCAAATGCTACTTTGAGGGGTAACTTTTGCAATATAGATATGACAGACATTTCTTTTCAATTTTTCTGCTAATCTGGGTAAATTTTTACAGTAAAAGAAAAAATTCAACACGGTTACATTTTTAGTTGTCTAGAAACCATCGTCCGAAACCACTTAGTTTGAAAAATTACCCTAACTTTGAGCTCTTGTATCTTCCAAGCCCATTATTTGCACATAGTTTTCTTAGGTGTTTTTGAAAGACACTAAGACATACATTGATTATACGGAACAAAATTTATGTGCATGCAAGGATATGGGGAGGAGTAACCTGCCAAAAATCATTTTTTGCGTTCAACGCGCCTTGATAAATTATCCATAACAACCGTGGCCTTAGGTCTGCCTAAAATAGTATAAGTTATTTAATCTCCTTAAACATACCATATATCTTCCAATATATGAAAAAAACCCATGTGCTTGGATGATTAAAAGCCTACAGAAGTCCTAGAAGTAGCCTTGTTTCGCCAAATTTTTATCAAAAAAATACCCTAGCAACGGTATAAATATACTTAGCAACAGCTACTTAACCGCTTTAATAATTAGTACTGTCATTAAAAATTTCGGTATAATACATTTTTATAACGGAACTGTACAAGAGCACTTGACAAAAATTACTTTGTAAGCATTTTTAATGTAACAAAGTTCTTAACAAAAGGTTGAAGTGATGCAACGGCAACAATCTTGTTATGTTAAAATAAAACCATAACTATCACTTGAGCAGAGTAAAATCGCAAGTGTCGAAATACTCAATTATTAGCCAAGGCCCGTCATTATCGAATCAATTAAAAAATAACGATATAAAAAATTTAAAAAGCACTTTCTCTTTTAAACGACAAATGAAACTGCGTCTCCTTAATTTTTGACATAATATGTCAGAAATTAAGGAGTTTTATTTAAAGTTATATAAAGTTAGACATATATTAAATAAACATCAATTAACACAACTATATTACTCATTTATTCATTGCCGTTTAAATTATGCAAATATAATATGGGGAAGCGCTCACAAAACCAAACTTAAATCTCTTTATCGACATCAGAAACACGCAGCTCGCACAATTAATTTTGCGAATCGTTTTTCAAGCTCAACATAACTTCTTAAAGAAATGAAAGTTTTGAATATTTACGTTTATTTTATGTTTTATGTTTGAATGTAAAGAAAATATATCACCTAATGTATTTATAAATCTTTATATTTTGAAACCTAAAAACAAATATAATCTTCGTGCCAGTAAAGTATCGAAGAGCCAATTTGCCAAACTAAATTTGACCAGTTTTGTATTTCTTATCGTGGTGCTGGAATAAAATAACTTTACCTAATTTCGATTTTTCTTTTAAATGGTCTTATTCTTCTTTTAAACGGAAACTAAAAGAAATTATCTTTTCAACACAAAATATTTATATTTATCTATATTTATTTATATTCTATTTTTAGAATTTAAGTTGTTTATTTTGATTTGTACTTTATTTTGTTTATTATATAGACTGTGAAGAATATTAGAATATTGTATTCTTTTTGCTATATAGATTGTAAAGGGCTTCATGATAAGATCCTGTGATCTTCTAGAAGTCCTGCCGGTAATATATTCAATGTAAATTTACCTTGTACATATTCTGGCAAATAAAAAAATAATGATAATAATAAAAAATAATAAAAAAATAATTATTTAACTTTATTTAACAATTAATTAGCATATATTATATGTAAGTATGTTTGTATATGTGTGTGTTTTTATGGGTGTATGTATATAAGAGAATGTATGTATACATGAGTTTTTCTTTATTCTTCACGTAGTATTTAACAGATAAAATATTATATTGTAAATTTTTTAAAGCCATGTGGGCTTTAAATGATATTGTAAAAGAGCTTTATAAAAAAAAAGGGTTACACCAGTCATCTTTATCTTCTTTGAGGTTTATATATATTCTTTGTATAACGTAAAAGTTTCATTGTAACTTTATTATTTTGTTTTTATATAAACAGCGAAATATATTAAATATATATATATATATATATATATATATATATATATATATATATATATATATATATATATATATATATATATATATATATATATATATATATATATATATATATATATATATGTTGATTTAGGTGCCCCAAGAAGTCCTTACGGTCTTATCACAGAGCACCGCGGAAGAGCATTTAATAGGAAGTTCACGCCTCCTTCCCAACCGATGTTGCAAAACTTGTCCAGAGGTGGGGTTTGAACCACGGATCTTACGTTTCTGAGGCAAGAGCCTCTTACGTTTCTGAGGCAAGAGCCTCTTACGTTTCTGAGGTAAGAAAAAAGAATTTATATATATATATATATATATATATATATATATATATATATATATATATATAAATTTGCACTCCTGTAAACTTTGATTGATGAAATTAATATCAATTGATTTGTTTTCTTTGATGTATAATAGAACCTTAAAATGAAATTCAAAAATTTTAAATGCAGCTTGAGAAGATATTGGCAGAAGCAATTGCATCTGATCAATTATAGGCACTGATTTCTCAAGTGTTGCACAATGAGGATGAAGATGCTTCAACTCAACTGGTTTCAAAATACTTTGTTGTACCAGCTAAGATGTTACAAGAAAGTGATTCTTTAGGACAAATTCTTTTGCTTTCAGTTATTAATCATAACAAGTACACTAAAAAAGCATTAATGAAAATCTTTGATTTCATGAAACCTCAAATAGAAAAACCACGCAAGTTGCAAAGAAAACAGAGGATTTTCAATACCAAAAAAGAAAAGGTTAACCTATGCTGAATGCGACAAGAAAAAAATAGAATATTTTTCAGAATTTATGCTTTGTTGAGGTTTGAAGAAGAAGTAGCTTATGGTGTAAATAAAATAAAGCTTGACTATGCAGAGAAACAAAAAGTGGCTAATACCTTTTTAATGTTGAAGTTTAGTCATACAATCACATTTTATAAAAAAAATTGCCAAAAAACTAATTACCTCTGTTTGTCAGATACTTCTTTACGGAGAATTTTTCGTGGAATAAAACCTTCTCAAAGGAAAGGTTTGGCTGGTCTTGATGGCGACACGGCAGCTGGCATGGATGGGTTTTTAAACTTTGATTGCTGTTTCTGAAAACTCTTAAAGATGTTGGCCTTTTGTCACGCATGTCACCTGGGAACCTTATAGATAAGGTTCTTAAGGTTAATCGTGTGCAAATAGCAAAATTTAAACATGCCGACTTTGACAAACAACTTAAAGTTAACAATAAACTTTTAGAGCCGCCAAAATTTAATTCGTGTTACGTATTATCTTTTATTCTTCACCACCTCATGGAACAGTATGAGGAAAATCTGACTTGAGTTTATCTGAAGTAAGTAACTTTCATTCAATCTACTTATATTACTTTAACTTATTTTTTGTAAATATTTCATGTCCAAAGAGTAGTGTAGCGAATGTGTTGGAAAACATTATGATTACCTGTAAATTTACTGGTAATCTTGATTAATAGAAGACAACTTTATGGAAGATATTTCGCATCTTTGTTGAAAGTAGTTTTAATTTTTTAGTAGTGGAAATACTTTAAACTAATTTTTTGATCTATATGCATTCTAATTCAAAATTTATAACGCAGTTTTAATAGCTGTCACAGGAATTGAACAACCATTAAGTGAACTAAAATTTACTTAAAAAAAATGATTTTAGGACCACTAAAGGAAAAGAGCATTTACCGTACACACGTATTTGATTTTGATAAAACAATAATGATTATATCAAAAAAAAATTTAGAAAAAGAGTGTTTTCACTATTAATTACAAAGAATCCATTTATTTATCCTAATCTGTGAATGTGTTGAATAAGTGCTATTATTTCAGATGCGGTTCTTGAAAATATGGATGTAAATATGGATGTATTATATCAAAATGTTTCATTTAGCAAACTTTTATTTCTCAGTGAGTACTTATTAAAAACTTTAAATGTAAAATTTAATGTAAAAACGTCACTTGGGCGATAGACAAAATTCCTTACAAGTGGTAAAGGCAGCTTACCTAGGAGAAAAAACTTTGATATAAATATTTTTAAGGTAATAGTAGGATGTTTTCTTTAATCTAGAATACTATACCTCTAAGTGATGTAGATAGACTATTGATAGCCTGTAGATAGCTAAAAATAGAATTACAGAAGTAGCCTACAGATAACCACAAGATAGAATTACTGAAGGTCAGTTGCTTGATTTCAACTGTTTCTAGAAAAAATCAAATAATGATAATAGCATAAATGAAAATCGTCTAATCGCGCTAGCGTACAAAGTAGTATATTAAAGTAATAACCAAAATTATATCACTGCTAATACTATTTAAGAATTTAAAAAACATTTATATGTCCTTTGCATCAACTCCAAAACATCATTTACATGCCCACTGATTGCAACTTAATCGTTCAAGCCAATCTTCATTTGCTTCTCCATAAACAGCTGCACACACACAACAAAAATCGTTATCAGTGTTATTTTTTAAAATAAGACCACTACATAAACTTAGTTGATCAGGTTCAGCTGGAAAAAAGTCTTCTTTGATTTTGTTTTGAATTATTTATCGTGATTCTTTCTTGACTTCTTTTTAACCCTGACCTTATTTTTTATTGCAGCCTTTTTAGCAGGAGACTCCTTTATAAACCTAACATTATCTAGTAACGTAATAAGAGCAGTGAGGCGTTTTAAATGAGTAGTTTTTTTTTAGCACTTTTTTTTTTGAGAAGGTAAAATAGACCTTAAAATAGATAAATTTGGGTCTCCCTGGTGAATTGTTGTTTTATTAAACATCTCTGTTTTTTTATATTTGAAGTCTTTCACTGCGTTTCCTCGGGGTAAACCGCGATGGTAAAACGCCTTAACAATCAATCCTTTTTTTGTAAGTTCAATTAACCACATTAAAAAAAAAAAATGTGAAAGTTGCAACGAAGCAAAAAAATATCATCATTTTTAGTTAAGTAATTAGACAAGACCACATATACTTAACTACTTCACTAATATGTGCTTCAAGTATATATTAGTAAATAAAAGTTGTTGAAGGCGATGTGTAATATAAGGTGGAGTGCAAAACTTACTTTTTATTATATATTATATTGAATTATGGCTACGTTTTCAAATAACATAAAACGCCACAACGCATGATATTTAGCTACTAGAATGTAGATTCCGCTACCATTTTCTGAAAAACACCAGTTTTCCACATTACGTTACTATTCCACAGTTGTCATCTTTATTCTACTGCTTTTTGTATTGACATGTACCTAAGTTAATTTTATAATAAAGTGCAGTCAAAGTTCTTAGCTATACTGCAGTATAAAATTATCGCTAAATCAATCCACAAATTTTTGAAATTTAATTTTTTTCAGATTATGTACAATATGTAACCCCCTCGAGTTGATGGGATTCAAACTTTATATGGTCATAAGTTTTAAACGCTATAAGATTGTTTTCTGTAATTTAAAATTTTGTGATGAATAAAAACTTAGTTGTGAAAAGTAAATAATTATTTTATTAACTTATTGCTCTCACGTTTTGGGCGAGTACAACTTGGTGCTTTTTGTTTCCAGGCTCCAATCACAACTTTTCATCACAAAAAAATATTGGATCCGCACCTGAAATGATGGGAATACGGCTACGATTATGTAGTTATGTATCTGAAATTACGGGAACACAGTTAAGTTATAAAATTTCGGGTTTAGACGTCAATCTCATTAAAAATTTTGTTAAGAGCACTATTCTTAGACTATGATATTATTTATTATGAGTTTGAAAAAACTTGTTCTGAAACCAAAACTTTCTATCTAACTTTATATCATTAGTACAATATGCCTGTTACTGTGCACAAAATACTTTATGAAAAGTCATAAAAATCATATATAGCAAGTATTGGAGGAGTCTCAAGAAGCCCGCAATAAAATTTTTTGTCGGTTCTGCAAGAATCATACCAGAAAAAGCTCATGTTTTTCTATTAATATAATGTTATACAACATTTAACTTTTTTACTTGGTATGCTTAAATTTAAATTATCAATATTAAATTATCTTTTGATATTGATAATTTAAATATTTGTGTCCAGATTGTCGTAAACAAAATATTTTGTAGAGTGACATTCTTAAAATATTATGCCAAAGAAGCACCAAATTCATTGAAAGATACTTAAGAATAGATTTTATAAATTTAAAAAGAGTAAAAACTCTATAGAGGTATTTTAAGCAGACCACTAGTTTTATAGAGGCATTTTTAGCGGATCACTAGTAATTTTGCTTATTGGTTACTTAGTGGACCATTAGTGGCAGCCGCCAAATATGGCTAGTTAATCCTTTGCCACTATTAACATGTCGATTTAATAATAATGCCAATAATAGTCCACTACCCTAGTCAAAGAGTCTTATAGGATATCCTATAAAAAGGTTATAGAACATTCCTATAAAAAATTGGAACAGGATTTTCTATAGGATAACGCAATTAAATACAACCTATAGGAACTTCTTTAGGATAGGATTCCTACACAATCCTGTTCCAAAATCTTATAAGAGTCTTATTCTATAAGAAACCGTACATAAAAGTCCTACAGGTATGGGAATACAGGAATCCTATTCAATCTTGTTCTAAAACCTTATTGGACTTTTCTCCTACAAGACACCAAATGTACACAATATACTACCGTTTTATATGCACAGAAATCCTACTTATTTGAGTAGGATTTCCGTACATATAAAACTTTAAGACATTGTTTATTCGATATCTTCTAGAATAAAAATTCCTATAAGATTTTGACCAAGATTATATAGGGTTCGTGTACAAATAAATCTATAAGATATTGTTTATTCAGTGTCTTATAAGACATTAAATATCTTATAGTTTTATATATACGATAATTCTATTCAACCCTATTTGAAGTTTTATTGAATTTTCCTTTGCCGTTGTTTGAGGATATTTAATAGAAATATCTTCTATTAGAATATTATGGTTTAAAACAGATGTATATATAATATTGGTAATACTTAGACATAATCTTTTAGTTCTTAATTTAAAAAGTACCAACGAATTAAATTCAAAAAAAAGAGAACAACAGAATATTAAGTCAGTAAGTCAGCTATTGTTATTACTTAAATGAATTATTATTATTATTAACTTAATGTTCTCTATAAACAACAGTTTTCTTCAAAACATTAATGCTTCTTTTTGCAAAATTTTTTTTGATCATAGAACATTGCAGTATTTGGTTTTCTAAACATAGCATAATTTCCCCTTGGAAATTGCTTAGCTAAGAAGTCTAAAAAACAAAAATATGTACAAACTAATAGTTATATATTATATATATTATTCAAAGGAAAACAAGGGCAAAGAGTGTTGCAAAATAAAGTATTATAATATCAATACCTAATATGTATTTCTTTGAGTCCAAAACTGACCTTCTTTGAGTCCAAAACTGGTTTAGATAAGCTACCTAACTAAATTACATCGGCCTCCTGTCAATGAATGACTTGATAAAACTTTACCCCCAAAAATCTGTCAAACTAGCTGTCAAAGATTTGGTAATTGCTAAATCTTTAACTAATTGCAGCATACTGATTTGCATTCAATTAGGTAATTTTTCTTATGTCCACCTAAAATAAAAACCAGCCAATATTAAATTAGTGTACTTTAAGATAAAGTAAGCATAAGACTTAATTTATATTACTTTGATATTAAAGTAATATAAATTAATTTCTATTTTTATCACTAATTATTAATTTAAAAGGTTGAAATTGCATTTCAACTTTTTAAATTAATAAATAATGATAAAAATAGATAGTTACTATATAATTTATTAAATTATTTTTCAAAAGTTATGAATTTGTAAAATCATAACATTTACTTAAAAATAACATTACACAAAATATGTACTACCATTTCGGTCTCAGGCGTGTTAGCTATAGGAGAAAAGAGGGTTTTTTGGCATTGTAAAAGATTGATGCTGAACAAGTAATGTTGAAGGCGAGCCACTAGGTTTATCAGAATTGAAAAAGTGGAGTACTTCATTATTTAAGGAATGGAATAAGTATCTTAGCATGGATTTAAAAAAGATAGTGATAATCATTTTTTTCCTTTAATTGAATAATATTTTCATTAGATTTTTGAATGTGTGCGTGCGTTTGTGTGTGGGGTGGGGGGTGGCAGACTTCAAAACGACGCACCCAAAATTCGGTTATTATTTATTTATCAGCCTTTTTACTTGCTGTTTTTGTAAAGCACTAAACATTGAAAAAAGGGTTTATGTCTTATCTAAATTAATTAGCCTATGAAAATTGACTTAAAACTCTTTCAAATACTAAACTATTAAGTAAAACGACAATATTTTTCATTTACCTAGTTTCTGGTACGTCATATACATATATAAAAATTTATATATATATATATATATATATATATATATATATATATATATATATATATATATATATATATATATACATATATATATATATATATATATATATATATATATATATATATATATATATATATATATATATATATATATATATATATATATATATATATATATATATAAAGCAAGACATTAAAGCAATAATTTACTCATTTAATACCAACCAAATTTTTAAATATTCTGTAAATTTCGACTTAGCCACATACAACCTAATGCATCCATTTGCACATAAAGCTTATAGTTTGATACAGTTCTTTATATAGATATTTACCGAATCTCATTGTCATTTCATTTCTTTAATATTTAAATATGTAAAATAATGTAATTAAGAATATAATAAGAATTTAACTTTTTGTAGACTTGTAGACTATATATATGAAGTATAACAAAGTACAAAATATTTTTATATATAACAAAGAACAACATTTTTTGGAAATATTAGATAGAAAATCACAACAGCATGGGGATGCTGCAAATTTAAACTAAAAAATGCACTCATTCAATAATTGTTTATACATTACTTACTATTGTGTGCTACTTCTGCTTTAAAGCTAACCAAAAGTGGAAGAAAATCTAGATTCTTTGAACCTGCAAAGTCCATTTCAATCTCTATTTCTTCATCAGTTAATTTTTTAATCCTGTATTTAGGGCTAATATTAGCCAAGAAATGAGCTGGGTTCATTGCCTGTTGTATTTTGATAAACTCTTCTTGGCATCTTAGATAGCTTAGGATTTTATTGCGTGTGAAGATTTATCCATATCATTACACAGTACCCAAGAGTACAACTCTCCTTCTGCATTAGGTCTAATGCAACAGCAATTGGTTTAAGCATTTATGACAGTTCTTCTGCACTTCGCTTGACACCGAGGTTGGTTACAATAATTGTAATATTCTTATAAATTATTTTTTTCACAAACTGTTAACAGAATTGGCAGTGTTTTAATTTGGATTCAAGATAGTGAGCTAATGTGTTCCATCTGACATCTTGTGCATTATTAGTCGTCGCCCCTCTTTTGTTTTATATGTGGCAGCAGTAAAATCCTTGTTTCTAAAATATTTAACAACTTGAACTATCTGCTCCTTGATGTTTGGAATTGCCAAATCTTGGGCCAATAGATTAAGAATGAACATTCATATGTAATAATATCATCTCGAGTTTTCAATTGTTGTCTTATTTATGACACATATACTGCGTTATTAGTTACTACACAAATTGTTTTTTTGCATTTGTTGATAGAATTAACAGCAACGTTAACCAAATAGTCAGAAGTATGTGAATCGCCGGTGGTATCAGTTGTATCTGCAAGTTAGATATCTGAATTTGTTTTTTTACTATTGCACAAACATTTGATTCATTATGAACATAGCTCCACCCATCAATACTCATGGTTCATGTAGCAAATCTGAACAGCTAGTTAAACTGTTCTTGTGAAAAGTATCTAGTAGTTTTCCACCAATATTAATTCTATTATGAGGGTTATATCCTGGGCATAACGAATAGATTATCTTGATGAACTCTGGGTGGTCAACTATTCTGAAAAGGCGAGTTAGTAGCATAAATCATTGTTGCTATCTGCTCATCAACTGCTTTATTCTTAGATTTTGTAGTTTTAATAAGGTATGTCTTACCAACTTAAAAGTAACAAATAATAATGTTTTCATCATCTTAAACATCATTCAGAAAGTTACATTTACCAGCACTTTTGTGGTTTTTCATTCGAGCAACCAAACCTTGCATTTGTACACCGCAGCTTTTACATTTAGCTTTATTACCCTTTTCCCCAAACTTTGCAGGTGTTTCTTCAAACCAATTTCAAAACTGTATCTCTTTTTCTACCGGCACCAGACATTTTTATTTCTAGTAATATTTTTTTTATTTTCAACTAAAAAATAACAACAATTATAAATGAATACTGTAATTTACAAAAATTTGTAATTATTCTTATATAAAAGGATTATATTCATACTTTTTATATAAATAGTTACAAAAACAGAAACTGTTGTAATTAGTCAATAAGTTGAAACATGAAAAAAACAAAATTTACTTATATGGATAAAAATCTTACAATAAACTAAAAAAATTTAATGATTTATACAGGTCCGAATTTAATACTTCTTGGCCTCCCGGCACTTTAGACCTTCTGGCCCATGTTGGCCTTCTAGTAGTCAAACCACTGATCTTTATAATAACTGGATAGCGCATCTCCTAATAAAATTTCAAAATTTTTGAAGCCAAAAGAGGCCATATTGGAAAGCCCCAGAATTTATAAATGCGTAGTTGCGTTAAACTTATATGGGCTTAAAACTCAGATTTTGCTTGATAAATAAAAAATGCAAAAACCGAAATAAATGCATTGATTATTAAAAACCGAGTAAATCTGATGTTATATGTTTAGATTATTTCATGGAGAGTGACATAAATATACATATATATATATATATATATATATATATATATATATATATATATATATATATATATATATATATATATATATATATATATATATATATATATATATATATATATATATATATATAAATATATATAAATTATGTATGCAGGGTGGCCAGCCAATTTCAACAATTAAATTCCCTGACTTTTTATATTTTTCCCTGACTCAGTTATATTTTAAAATGTGAATTTTTAGGTTTTATTGTTTGGGAGTAAGTAAAAAAAACCTTTAAAAAAAATTTTCAAAAAAGACATTTTCCCCTGATTTTCCTGACTAGAAAAAAATTCCCTGACTTTTTCATGATTTCCAGTTGGCTGGTTACCCTGGTATAATATTATTATAATAGCATCCAAGTGTATATTAGTATGCACTTTTTGATTCTTAACTGCCCTCTGCAAAATGCCTGAGGCTTGTAACATATTTGCAAGGTAAACAGCTTACAAGTTTACTGTATGAATCATTAGTTAGGCAATATAATTGTAATACAACTTAAAGGTTCCTTAGGCAACATATAGCAAATCGTTATATTGACTTTTAATAATTTTGTTCTGGCGTGTGTGTGTATATATATATATATATATATATATGTATATATATATATATATATATATATATATATATATATATATATATATATATATATATATATATATATATATATATATAGATTAACTTAACGCTTAACTGTTGAAAAATACTCTCAAGACATTTTTGTAAATGCCATTAGTTATTTTCACAACACCAGAATATTTGTATAGATATTGCAATTACAAAAGAATATGTTAAAGTAAAAAACTATAAATAAAATAATAGTTAGCTCTATCATCTTGAACAAAGTAATCATTGAATAACAAAACAAACATTGAATAAAAAGGTATTATGTGGTAGGGAAAAGTAAAAAAGTATGTACACTTAGAAAAAAAATTGTTCGCCTTTCATTTTGGTCTTTTATGTTGCTTACTTGTTTTCACAAGAAATATTTTGAATATTTATTAATTATACAACTAATATCTATCAGTATAAAACTGATAGATGTTAGCTGAATCATTATTATTTTACTTTAGAGTCGATAGTTTTAAAAAAACTTGAAAGAAACTATGTCAGTTTTCATTTATACCATATTAAATATGGTATAAATGAAAACTGACATGGTTTCTTTCAATTTTTTTTAAAACTATCGACTCTAAAGTAAAATAGGAGTACAAAAATTAGGAGTACATGATAGATATGTAAATATGATATTTACATATACACAATCAACGTGTATGCGATACTGTTATTTAGTCTAAAACACTAGACACTTTAATGTTAAACTGCAAATAACTAGTTATCACGAAATATCTAGTGTTTTAAGTTAGAGATGGCTTTGTCAAACCTTCACAAAGTGTAATTAAAGTTAGCAACAGAACAAAACATTGTTAATAAGTGATATCAATTTTAATAAAGTATTGCATATTTGATGATATATCAGTTGTGGAACAATATAAACATGTCCTCAGAGTCTCAAAAATTAGAAAACCATTTACAAAAATGTTTGATACAATGTTTTTATCATGTTTTATACTTGTAAAGTTACTTTCCAGCTACTATTGCTAAGTAAGGTCGCATCAAGTTGTTAAAATAAACACCCAAACGTAACCAGATTAAATATCAATTTGTCTTTCAGAAAAGTTTTATTTAGAATATCATAAATTCAATAAATTTAACAAGTTCATAGAAAGCAATACAAATTTTATTATTTCTTTATAGCGATATTTCTCTTTGTCGTTAATGTTTTGCGTGTTTTTGATTCCCTTTTATAATTTTTACACCTTCAAACATTTTAAATATAATAATATCATTGAAATATGTGACTTGGTCGAGTAGATATAAACGAAGTAAAAAGGTACATCTTCAAGCGCAATCACTGTATTTTCGGTTGTGTTTAGGTTGTGTTTAGATCATATCCCATTAGGAACGATTATTTATATTTGCGTATTTTTAATTGCAAGGTAGATAAAAGCTTAAAAAGCAAGCGAGATAAAAACAATAGTTAAAATTTCTGCAAATCCGCGTTACTAGCATTGGCTATTCGGATATTATTAATTTTAACACCAAATATTTATTGTTGAGATTACAAAAAATATGAATAAATTTCTTCAGTAAAAAAAATGTATTGTAGATACGCGGTATAATCCAATGCTAGTTACGCGGTTTTGCACTATTTCCGACAATTTTGTTTTCTAAATGACATTGAAGTGTTATTAAATTTACCTTAAAATAACGGTGCTATTTAATAAAAATATAGAATAGCAATAAACAAAACTAACAATGAGCAATGTTTAAAAATGATTTGAGTACCAAAAATGCACTATATACTGCTTAAAATAACGATCTCTAATTTTAAATAAACTTTTTTAGGGTAAAATCATCAAATCATGGCCGCTTAATTTTAAACTGCTTCATGTTACCGCGAATCGCTTAGATTCTTAAAAATATTTCTAAACTCTTAAAAAACCTCTTGAGATACAATTTATGACAAGTTTGGAAGTTTTTGTTAATAAGTTAACAAGTTTTAGCACAAATATTAGAAGGCGTGAAAAACATCAAATCTTGGCCAGAGATCCAAAACATGGCCATTGCGAATTTATTCCTGGCCATTAAGTTTTACAAAGTAAAAATAGTGATAATACTTTTAAATTTAAATTAAAAACAAAAGAAATTAATTGTAAAGAGTTTAAAAAAAGAAGTTCTGCATAAATTTTTACTCATATAAATTTAGTTCTTTTTTTAACAGGTAAACAAACAATAGATTTTAAAGCGCTTCACAACATTTAATGTTTTCAAATTAGCAAATGTCTTCAAATAAATAAAAACGGCTACGAGCCGTTTAAGTGCTTCGAGCGGGAACGAACCCGCAACCTTTGGTTGCTCTAACCACTGCACCACGGCTGCTAAAATCTAATAATAATCATTTCATTTATATCGTATCTATACTCTAAACCCGAATGGTTCTTCAAAAAATCTTTAAGGGTTCTTCGTGTTGACGCTGGTGGAGAACTCGTAGAGGTTCTTCAAAGAACCCTTTGCGAAGGCTCTTCGGAAGAACCTTAAAATAAGGTTCTTTAAAGAACCCGTTATAGTTTTTTAACGAACCGTTCAATATTTTTGCATTATTACTTCGTTGCACGGATACTTTTTTGACTTCTTGAACATTTTTTATTAACTGATATTTATATAATATATAACTATTTAATAGATTTTTAATATTTAATTATAATTATTTAAGATATTTAAGCTAGTTACTTAAGGCCAAAATAGAAATGCAAATAACGACTTTCCTAAGTATTTTACATATATTTCAAAATATGGCAATAAAGAAAAAAAAACTTTTTTTAAACAATTGATATAAATATTTTTAAAAAATTAACAAAAATAAATTTTATTTTACAATCCAATATATCTATGTTTATAAAAATATATCATCAATTATAAAAAAGGTTTTCTAGTGTTAAATCCACTGTCCAATATATAAATGTTTTTGCTTGAAATTAGCTGTACGAATAAACGTGAGATTTCTGAAGTCGCATTCGTTTGAAGAATTATCTAAAATTCAATAATGAAATGAATATATATATATATACTATATATATATATATATATATATATATATATATATATATATATATATATATATATATATATATATATATATATATATATATATATATATATATATATATATATATATATATATATATATATATAGAGAGAGAGAGAGAGAGAGAGAGTGAGAGAGAGAAATAACACAATAGATAATATTGTACAATTCATTATTTGTAATGCAAATCAATTTTGAATAAAGATTTATATATATATATATATATATATATATATATATATATATATATATATATATATATATATACATATATATATATATATATATATATATATATATATATATATATATATATATATATATATATATATATATATATATATATATATATATATATTGTTTAAGTGACATCGTTAATAATATATTTTATATTCAATTGATTAAAAACATCATGTTCGGCTATATATTATCTTTATTATTATATGGTGATATTTTGGCTTATATAGTATAAACCATTATCAAACTGAAAAAACTGTTATACAAAATTCATAAAAACTAAAATCAAAAATGACGTCATTGCAATGTTGCAGATTTAGACTTAAGTTTAACAAAAAGTGGTCTCCAATGGCGTGTCATCACTAAGTTACCATTGTCGTGATTTGTTGATAATAAACATAATGGACTAACCAATCAGACAAGAATTTTTTAAGATATGTATTTTGTCCCGTAAAAAATAACATTTATTTACACAAAGTTCAATAAGCTTGTGAACATCTACTAATGACAATTTACTTCGCATCTTAAGATTATCTTTATCTTTGCTTAGAATATCAATTATAGAAATTGTTGCTTTATCTAGTGGAATCAATGGATATAAATTAATAATATCAAACGAAACTTGAATTTCATTTTTATCTATAAATCATTCTTTAGCCTCAGATATGAATGAAAAAAAATTTTTTTGTAGTAAATGTATGTTGTATTATTTCAAAAAGATGTTGCAAAAGTTTATGAGCTGGTTTACCAATAGTTAAAACTATAGTTCGCATAACTAACCTTTATCACTTTTATGTGCTTTAATGCATCCATATAATCTAGGTGGAACAGCGTCAGAAGGATATATTTTATCATAAGTTTTTTTATCAATTTTTTTTTCCTTTTTTAATTTACTGAGAGTTTGTTGAATTAAACAAAGAAAATTTTGTGTAGGATCGACAGCAGAAATAGTGCAGTTACCAAGTTGATCTTTGATTTTTTTTATTGCTGATTCTGAATCTAAAATAGCAAATCCATATCCTTTATCAAAAGGGTATATCTTTATTTAGTTCGAGTTTTTTAGTTCATTTAAAGCTAGATATTGATTTTTAGAAAAATTACTAGCTATTTTTACATTTAAAAACTTGTTTAATGTTTTGCTTACATTTTGTCGCAAAAATTCAGCTTTTTCAATATTAACATTTTCCTACAATTTTAAAGCACATTCTTCAGTTGATACTATAATGTCCATGAACAAAATTTGATTTTTTGATGGTACAAATTTCCTGGTTGCTAGATAATAACTTAGCAATTGAAATACAACGCTTACAGTGCTCTTATTCACAGGAGTATATCTTAAATTGTGACAATGGTAACTTAGTGATGACATGCCATTGGAGACCAATTTTTGTTAAAGTTAAGTCTAAATCTGCAATGTTGCAATGACATCATTTTTGTTTTTAGTTTTAATAAGTTTTGTATAACGGTTTTTTCAGTTTGATAATGCTTTATACTATATAAGCCAAAATATCACCATTTAATAATAAAAATAATATATAATCGAACATGATGTTATTAATCAATTATATATATATATATATATATATATATATATATATATATATATATATATATATATATATATATATATATATATATATATATATATATATATATATATATATATATATATATATATATATATATATATATATATATATATATATATATATAAATATATATATATAAGTTTGGACCCTTTTTCATTCATATACAAGATGTCAGATAGGATAGATGACTGGAACCCACCTGAATCATGGAAGAGAATAACTTGCATCATGAGGATTCGTGCCATCAAAATAAGGATATTATGGCCGACCATCAAAATAAGGATATTATGGCTGCTGCCCAATGCTCCCTAAACACAGTAAAAACAATCAGGCATGAAGTAGAGACTTGCAATGGTGGCTACAAGGATGTAGTAAGAAGAAAGATCCCTAGCAAACGATCTGATTGCATTTGTACAGCAGAATTCCTCGCAAGTCTGCAGGAACAGGTGTTGAAGAACCCTGGCATTGGAATTCGGGTTTTGTCACGTGAAATGAATGTTGCAGCCTCTACTATGAAGCTTGCATTCAATGAAGACCTTCGCTACTACTCATACAAGCGCCGCAAAGGTCAGCTACTCACAGAAAAGGCCTGTGAAAAATGTTTGATAAACGCAAAGAAACTTCTAGACAAAGTGAAACATCCTGTAGAATCACAAACAATCTGGTTCTTTTCCGATGAGAAAAACTTTTGCCAGGATCAAAAGCACAACACGCAGAATAACAGATAGCTTGCATGCAGTACAAAGGACATTCCTTGTGTAATGGAGACTAAATTTCCCTAAACTGTGAGGGTTTTTGGTGTATCCTCTGAAGGCGATGTGATGCCTCCGCATTTTTTCCAAGAGGACCTCAGGTTGACTTCAGATGGCTACGGGGAGTTGCTGAACACTGTAGTCAAGCCCTGGATAACAAGGGTAGCCAATGGTAGGCCGTATGCATGGCAGCAGGATTTGGCCCCTTGCCATACCTCTGGAAAAAGTCAAAAATGATTGTCTGAAAATTTATAGGACTTCACCAGTCCAAATGTTTAGCCTCCAAACTCCCCAGACTTTAACCCCATGGATTATTTTGTATGGGGTGCAGTTGAAAAAGATACCAATCGCACTTCCAGTAATACAAAAGCCCAGTTAGTGGATAAAATTAAAACAGTCTTTGAGGCCCTTCCCAGGGAGACTGTAGCATTAGCTTGTTCGAAATTCCGAAGCAGGATTGAAGCAGTGATCGATGCTAATGGTTGTTATTTTGAGTGAAATTTGTTCATAGTATTGTAATTTACTATGCCTGTAATTTTTTTGTCAACTCATTAAATTTAACAGATACAAAGAAGATTTTCCTTTTTCTTTCGAAACTGTCAAACTTATCCCGAACACCCTATATATATATATATATATATATATATATATATATATATATATATATATATATATATATATATATATATATATATATATATATATATATATATATATATATATATATATATATATATATATATATATATATATATATATATATATATATATATATATATATATATATATATATATATATATATATATATATATATATATATATATATATATATATATATATATATATATATATATATATATATATATATATATATATATATATATATATATATATATATATATATATATATATATATATATATATATATATATATCACCGTTTTCCTAAATGAGCAATAAGTGTCAACTCAAATTCCAAAGAAACCACAATATGCCTGTGAAAGCTTATGACTCCTGGATTCCAAAAATATAAAAAATCAAATCATCCTATTACGTCCGAGACAGAAAATCACTTTTATTTTGCACATATTCATGAAATGACAGCATTCTCGAAATTTTACATTTTTACAGCATATCTTAACATTCAAAAAGCTCTTTGAAAATAATAAAACCTACCTAACATAATAAAGGAACAAAAAATATGAAAATGAGAAAGATTTTATGTTATAAAATTGGTAGTAATCCAAATAGGTAAAAAATCACTTGGGTAAAATACTGCTTTTCTGAAAGTTTTTTCTAATAAGTTAACTCTAGAATAATTTCAATAATGAGAACAGAAGAGTTGTTTGTATAATGTGTCTTAGAAAAGGAAATTGTCAATTGACACCATTTTTGGTCAGCAAAATTCAAAACAACTACAAAAAGCAGTTTAACTTTGATGATTTAAGAATTCCTTAAGGTCTTTGTGATCCGTGTAGACTGGCCCTTGGAAAGTGTGATCAAGGACAGAAGGTTGTTTTGCCTAAGCTGTTTCAATTTGAAACCATTGATATAAAAGTTCACACACGTGGTCAAGCTTGTGAATGCTTGATTTGTGACATAGGGCGACTTAAACTGACAGAGAAACACCCTCTTGAAAGAACAAAAACTGGAGAGAAAACATCAGACAGAAGATGTTCTACATGTCTCTCTCTTATTGGTCAAGGTTTACCCCATCATTGCTCTTCATCACAGTTCCATGAAAACTTAAGGGAGCTTGCAAAATCTGATGGAATTGTAGCAGAACAAATTGCCAGCTCAACAATTGTTAGCAGAGAATCTTCTCCTTGTGGAACTATTAGACTTGTGCAGCCAAAAGGAGGAGGACTGCTCCCAATCACACAAGGTTTGTATATAATTCTTCATTAAGGTCGACCATAACATTTAAGTAACTGAAATATTATATTTTACTCTTTAACAGGTCCTTCTTGCTCTAAGCAGTTGTTCAAAGATTCAGCTGTAGTCACCACAAAGGATCTTGCTCAAGTTCAACTAAATACAGGATTGTCAAACAGTGGAATAAAAAAACTGACTTCCACCATTAGGCATGTTTCGTCTGCCAAAGTTCTGGAACCAAATATATTACACAAGTTCCAGGATCTCGGAAAAAGTCTAGAAGAACACTTTACACAAACCCCAACAACATTCATTAGTTCAGATCAAAAGAAGTCTCAAAGTGTTGTTGTCCATTGCAAAAATCTCCAAGCACTCACTGAAGAAGTTCTACTTTCAAGGACAAGTACTTTCAAAACACATCATTAAACTTGGAATTGATGGTGGTGGAGGTTTTCTTAAAGTCTGCCTTGGAGTTATACAAAATGAAGCAGATAGTGAAGCTGTGTCTCCGCCAAACAAAAGATTTCTGACATCTTCAACGTCCAAGGATTCTGGAGTAAAACAGCAACTTCTGGTTGCAGTTGCTGAAGGAGTTCAAGAGAATTACTCCAATGTAAAGCTCATTCTCTCTCTCATTTCAATCAGTGAAATCAAGTTTGTTGTCTTGTGTGATATGAAGTTGGCAAATATAATTTGTGGATTGCAATCACATGCTTCAGCTCATCCATGCACATGGTCCACTGTGGAAAGCTCTAACCTTGCAAACCGGGGTACTCTGAGGACTTTTAGATCTTTGAAGCAAGCACACTAAACATACACAGCAGCTGGATCCGACATCAAGAAAACAAAATTGTTTGGAAACGTAATTCACGACCCTATTCTCTCACTTGATAATGATACACTTGTGCTTGATCTCATTCCACCAATGGAGCTTCATCTACTGCTTGGGGTTGTTAACCACCTGTTCAAGATTTTAACAGACCTTTGGCCCGAATCAGCTGAATAGCTACAAGCTTTGCACATTCAGCCCTAACCTTTTCATGGTGGTCAATTTGCTGGGAATGATTGCCACAAGCTCCTCAAAAATTTCAACCTTCTCCAAACACTGGCTGAAAATGACAGTGCCTTTCAAGTTTTCAGCATCATTGACAGCTTTCGAAAGTTTAGTCCCATTGTTTCTGCAAGTTGGATTGCACTTATGCAGAAAAAATTGATTCATTCAGAGATTCATATTTGGCATTGCCAAGAGGAAGCATCACTCCAAAAGTACATGCAGTGTTTTTCCATGTTAAGGACTTCATCCAAAAAACAAGGTCTCCTCTTGGAATCTACAGTGAGGAAGCAACAGAATCTATTCACCATTGTTTTCAGAACCATTGGCAACAATACAAACGACCTATCAGCCATCCAGATTATGGAAAAAGGCTAGAAATGTGCCTAGCTGATTTTAACAGCAAAAGTCTGAAAAGTTAGGAATTTGTAAATAATTTTTTTTGTCAAGAATGTTGTTGCTTTAAATGTGGAATTTATTTTAATATTTCTTTTGTAATTACCTACTCATGTAGGTAATGTCTTTTACCTATTTGGATTACTACCAAACTATTAATGAAATTATTCTAAAGTTAACTTATTAGAAAAAACTTTCAGAAAAGCAATATTTTACCCAAGTGATCTTTAACCTATTTGGATTACTACCAATTTTATAACATAAAATCTTTCACATTTTCATATTTTTTGTTTCTTTATTATGTTAAGTAGGTTTTATTATTTTCAAAGAGCTTTTTGAATGTTAAGATATGCTGTAAAAATGTAAAATTTCGAGAATGCTGTCATTTCATGAATATGTGCAAAATAAAAATTTTCAAAAGTAATTTTCTTTCTCGGACATAATAGGATGTTTTGATTTTTTATATTTTTGGAATCCAGGAGCTATCACAGGCATATTGTGGTTTCTTTGGAATTTGAGTTGACACTAATTGCTCATTTAGGAGAACGGTGATATATATATATATATATATATATATATATATATATATATATATATATATATATATATATGTATATATATATATATATATATATATATATATATATATATATATATATATATATATATATATAGGCTTTGAATGGCTAATGAACTTTAACTCAGATAAGACTTAATAGTTTTTAGCTAATCGTTATCACAATAATCGAGAGTTTTCTATTTTTATGAACGGTAATATACTTGATGAATCATCTACACTTTGGCTCCTAGAATTAACTCTTACCTCTGATCATTCTCAGAAACCATATATCAAATCCATTTCAAAATAAAATAGCATGCATCTCCTTATCAGGCTTGTTACATTCTTACTATTGATTCTGTCATACTTTTATGAAATAGTTGCCATATCTGGGGTGGATCTTCCAATGATGTTCTTTCTCTTTTTGATAAGGTGCATAATCGTAAACATAGTTGGACCTGTTCTTGCAGCAATCTCCAAACATTGTCACATCTTAATGTTGCTTCTCTTTCTCTTTTCTACAAATACTATGATGGCCCTAGTGTCTCTTGTGCCATCTACTAAAATTCATTATCATAAATTTATGCGTCAATGAAGTCTCATCCCTTTACTGTGACTGTTCTTAAGTTTATTAAGTTACCCCGAACTTAATAAAGAGAAAGAGATTGATCGCAAATTGAACTTTATTGATATTATTATTAACTCTGTAAATTATAAACTTAATACTTCAAAATTTTTCAAAAAAAAATACACAGTTTTACAAACTAATTTTAAAAGCTTCACTAATATTAATTATGAACAAGGATTCATTAAAACTCTGATCAATAGGGCCTTCAAAAAACAGCAAGTTTTTATCTAGAAATTGTAAAAATTAAATAAACTCTCCAAAAAAACTCTTTTGCCTTCAACTTAATTGACAAAACCTTCAAAAATTGACTAAACAATCTTATCTCTCCTAAAGAAAACATGTTATCTCCAAAACCATCTGATATACATTACTTTAAACTCCCTTATATTGGAAAATTTTCAAATACATTTTAACATCAATTAATTAAATACATTTAAAATATTGTAAAGATAATATAAAAGCAAGACAAGTTTTTACAACTTTTAAAATAAGTAGTATGATTTCATCAAAGACCCCTAACCCCCAAATTTAAAAACCTTTGTCTATAAATTTGTTTGCTCCAGCTGTAATGCTGGATATATTGGTGAAAACACCAGACACTACACAACAACGGTTTCAGAACATTTAAATTTAGATCAGGCATCCTATATTTACAAACATCTTACTTCAACACAAAAATGCAAAAACTCAACTGACTCTTTTTCTATTATTGTCAGAGTTTCTTCATGGTAATTACTTATTTTATAAAAATTGATTATGGTAACAATTGTAAAAATATTAAATTTTTAATGCAGCCAAATAAATTGTTTATATATAGAAATTGTAATTTTTTTTACCTGATGATATCAATTAATGTTGATAAAAGATGTTGTTAAAAATTTTTTTTTTCAAATTGTTATTCATTTAAAAATTATATAAATATATGAATATATATATATATATATATATATATATATATATATATATATATATATATATATATATATATATATATATATATATATATATATATATATATATATATATATATATTTATATATATATATATATATATATATATATATATATATATATATATGTATATATATAACTATTGTTATTATATTGTTAAGAATTATGTATATGAAAGAAACACTAACCTTTAAGAACTATTACATCCATGAATTAATACAATAACCCACTGTAAAATCAATAAAGTTAACAAAATAAAGACCACGTAATAAAGCAATTTTAAGTAACAAACAATATTATATGGCACGTGTGTTGTGTTGTTATTAATATTGCTCCGCAAATTTTTTTAAATGTTGTTCGGCAAAATACGCAAGTAAAAATTAATCGTTCCGAATGGGATATGATCTAAACACAACCTGTATTTTCGGTATTCTGGGGCTTTCCAATATGGCGGCCGTGCAAAAAATTGGCTTCACTTTTGATAATAGAGATGCGCTATCCAGTTATTATAGAGATCAGTGAGTCAAACTTAACAGCGGTATTTAATTTAGGCATCAAGTTTAATTTAGGTATCTTGCGTTATTTATTATGAAAAATACCCAGCAACTAATATAGGTTTTAAAACACCTTTCGTCTGCATTTTAAGCTTGCAAATGCAGATACTTTCTAGGTTGATGGAATCCAACACCCGGTTTTCTATTTAAATAATAAAAAGATTTGAAAGACGTACCTACCTTTTAAATAATGAATAAATAGAAGATTAAATGTAACTTCAAAAATTGGAAATTATACGAGTCAGCAATTGATAAGGATTTTTATTGTCTTTGCGCACTGCAAGTGATCCCCAATATATACATGCTTCGGAGATTCACAAGAAAACCAAAAATAGAATTCAATTGAGTATCAGATTTCTTTCTTTGATTTAGATCACTCATTAGTTTTTCCGTGATCTCATTAACGTCAGCAATCATTTAAAATCGTTTAAAAAACACTGTAGTTTCCACACAGTTAATTTCATCGTAATGTCTTTTGCGTGCTCTTGGGCGCCTTTGATTGTAGGCATATTTATCCTTGTAGACTAAAGACACAGCTTCCTTTTCATATTGCTTGAAATTGGAGCAAACTTTCTACGTGTAATACTCAGGGTGAAGTACAGTTCTTCAACCATACCTAAATCAACTAGACGGACTGCAGTTTCTTGTTAACTTTGTTAAACCTCTCCATGATTCTGTTCCAAATGATTAAAAAAGTAGATGTCTCAAGTTGTTTCGTTTTGATCGAAAAGTCCGAAGGTCTCTGTTCTTATTTTTGCTTTCTGAATATCAAGAAGAGCCGCCTATATAGAAAACATTTGTTGATAAGTATGCACATATGTTTTGATTTGATTTTCTAAATAATTATTATTCACCTTGTAAATAAAAAACCCCTTTTCAATGGCTAAACAAGCATCAGCATGAGCTGACAAACAAGTTTGTGAGAAAGTCTTTGAAACCTTAATTCGTAGTTCAGCAATGACTTTTGACTTTAAGACATTCCATCAATGCATTAATGCAAAAAAGAAGTTATAAGTTTCTTGATTCTGCGGCGCTCTCTCCTACTTGGTTCAAAGAGTGAGCAGCACATGGAATGTGTTCGGCAAGAACATTGATCTTTTTAATTCTTGTTTGTAAACCAAAGTAGATTCCAGAAATATTACTGGAATTGTCGTATGACAAGAAAAAAATTTTTTTTTTCAAGTAATACAAGAAAAAAATATTCTTTTTAAAGTTTTCTAAACATCTATACAAGAAGGGGTTTTCCCTGATCTATTAAAAATCCCAATTTATAAAGAAGGAGAAAAATCAAACGTAAATAATTATTGCCCCATTTCTATCCTTCCTACGTTTTCAAAAATATTAGAAAAAATTATCTTCGAAAAAACATACAACTACCTGGTTTCAAATAATTTACTATAGAAAAATCAGTTCGACTTTAAAAAAATAGTTCAACTGAACAAACCATTATTCAATTTGCACGTGAAGTCTCAAATTCTTTTGCTAAATCACAATATACACTTGGTGTTTTTGTCGATTTATCAAAGGCTTTTGATACAGTCAATTATGATATCTTACTTAAAAAACTTGAGTTCTACGGAATAACTGGTAAAATGATCAAATGGTATAAAAGCTACTTGTCAAATAGAAAGCAATTTGTCTACCACGGAGAAGAATTGCTTCCTATTAATCTTCAAAATAAAACATTAATTGAAATTTTTTTTTTTTTTTTTCTCAATTTTTGTCTAACAACCATTTACAATTAAAAATAATTTCCGTAAAAGATTTAGAAATATTAAATACAAGTACATTTCATTATTTATAATAGTTACAAGACCGGAGAACCTGAAGAAGATAAAGTCTTTTCATCAGTAACCTTTGATAATACAAATTGGAAATAATCGTTTTTTGTTAGAAAAAATCATGTAAAGAATTGTGATTGGCAATAAGTTCGATTATTTTCTTTTTAAATTTTTGAGAGGTATTGGCTTCTTTAAGTTTACCACTCAGACTTGTAAAATGGTTCCATAGCATTGGGCCACGATAGGAAATGGCAAAGCTCGTAAGTTTTGATGAGCGGAAAGGTTTTTTAAATCTTCCGGTAGATCACGTGTTGTATCGGTTTAATGTTTTATGGAAAATATTTTCGAAAACCTTCGGGGTTTTTTTTGACTGATGTTGAAACATAAATTGTGTAATTTTGAAAATATTTAACTCATAAATATCAAGTGCCCTCATGCTTTTTAGAAGAGGTTTAGCATTTGTGAAGCGATTTTGAAAATGAATAATGCGTGCTGCATGATTCTGTTGTTTAAGGAGACAGTCGAATTTAGATTTATTTGTATTACCCCAAACAATATTGCCATAAGATAAATAACTATTTATGAATGCAAAATATAGTTGAGTTAGTGTAGATTTGTCTAAGATTCGTCTGGTTTTATATAAGATGCCAATACTTTTTGAGATTTTATTGCTAATATGATTTATATGAGCTCTCCAGGATAAGTTTTCGTCTATTAAAATACCAAGTAATTTATTTGCGAATGACCTATTAATGTTATTTATATATAGCATTGGTAAGGATTTTGGAATAGATTGAAACTTTCGTTTAGAATGGAATCAGGAAAACTTAGTTTTATCAGTGTTTAAAGATTAGCTGTTAGCGAAAAGCCAGCTTGATATTTGTTCTAGTTCATTATTTGCTACTTGAAATAGAGAGATAATATTACTGTGAGAATAGAATAAAGTGGTGTTGTCTGCAAACATAATAGTAGACATAGTATTTGATGCTTTATATAGATCGTTGACATAGATTAAAAATAGCAACGGACCTAAGATGGAGCCTTGTGGAACCCCACATGATATTTTAAGTTTGTTTGTCTGAAAGTCATCATTAAGAGAAATAAACTGCTTTCGATCAGTTAAGTAACTGGTAAACCATTTATGGTATTCGTGGTTTATTCCATAATATTTTAGTTTTTCTAATAAAATCTGATGATTAACGGTGTCAAATGCTTTTGACAAGTCTAGGAATATACCTAAGGTGAACTTGTTATGAGAAGATGCTTCACTGATAACTTCAACAAGTTGCATAAGTGCATGTTCCGTAGAGTAATTTGATCGAAAACCATATTAGCTCCAATAAAGAAGATTGTTATCATACAAAAATGCAAATATCCTATTATACATGATACGTTCGAGGATTTTTGAAAATACAGGTAATACCGATATAGGTCGATAATTTGTAACCAGACTTTCATCTCCTGATTTAAAAATGGGTGTAATAATTGCAACTTTCATTTTATCTGGAAAAACACCTGTTTTAAGCGATTTGTTAAAAATGTCTAATTAAACATCTTTAATAAGTTCGTAGCAGTCTTTTATTATGCTTGCTGAAATAGCATAATAGCCTGTTGCTTTATTTTTATTTAATTGTTTTATTGAATCATCAAGTTCTTTACTAGTGAGTTTTTTAAATGCTAAACTTTTATCCGACTTTGATAGATAGCTCAAGAAATGTGCAGGAGTGTGTTTAATTTTGCTGGCTAAGTTTAGACCAATATTTACAAAAAACTCATTAAATTTTGTTGCCACCGATTTTATATCAGAGATCTGTGTGCCGTCTACAGTAATCACGCTTGGTAAGGCTTTGTTGTGTATTTTTTGTTTTCCAAAAATCTCTTTAATAGCATCCCACGTTTTTTTGCAGTTACCTTTTAGTTCTAACAGCTTGTTTTTGAAGTATGTAGTTCTGGCAATTTTTTTAGTTCTTTCATATAGACGTTTGTGCTCTAAGTAATTATGCTTATCACGTTCTTTATTTGAATTAATAAAGCGTATATATAGCTTTTGTTTTCGCTTCGAAGACTTTAAAAGGCTTTTAGTGAACCAAGGATTAAGAAGACCTTTAGTTTTAATACGGATTATTTTATTAGGAAAATGCTTATCGTACAAATTGAAAAATTTATCTAAGAAAAGGTTGTAGCTGTTACTAGCACGTGTTTCGAGAAAAACAAAGTTCCAATTTACAGTTGATAGCTCTAGTTTAAACATATTTTTTGCTCGGGTTGTAAAGATTCTTTTTTTGAAGTACCAGTCTTTTTTTGTAAATCTTTTGGTTTTTTGAAAATTGCAAAGACTGGAAAATGTTCGGTTATGTCACTTCTGATGATGCCTGATTTAAATATGGAATGGAAGAGTGTATTTGTGAAAATATTGTCGATTGCAGAACAAGAGTGTTGTGTTATTCTTGTTAATTTATTTATTATAGGCATCATTCCAAACTCATTAAAGCTATCGTAAAATTGTTGTACTTTATTATTTTCACCATATTTTAAATAGTCGACGTTATAATCTCCAAGAAATATAAATGAGTGGTCTTTATTTTTTTTGCATGCTGTTTCAAAATAATCACTTAAGTGATTTTGAAAGTTATTTAATCATCCGTTTGGTGGTCGGTATGTAGTTGTCGCAATAATATTTTTAGATGACTTATTGTAGATTTCTAAAGTGATTTCTAAAGTAAATCAAATTAGATATGACGACAGGTCATATCTAATTTGATAAGTAAATTCATCAAGCACATAGACACATATACCACCGCCTGTTTTTGAAGACTTACGTTCAAAACTAATGGCTTTGTAGTTGGGAAATAAAATGTGGTGTTCCACAGGGTTCTATCCTTGGCCCACTTCTCTTTTGAGTATACGTCAACAATCTAAATAAACTTTTTTTAGAATATTTGAATAAAGAACTTATTCAAGTTTCTAACTGATTTAAATGCAATAAATTAACCTTAAATATTGACAAAACAAAGTAGATCCTTTTCCACTCCTCAACAAAAAAAACGCTTTTTGCCTTATGATTTACCTAAACTTTATATTGACGAAGTAGAAATAAAAAAAGATTCCGTTTTAAAATTTCTAGGTATTTATCTTGACGAAAATATGACATTGAAAACTCATCCTGATTATATATCA